AATGATTGTTGAACATATACATATATATTCACCAACACGTAATCTATACGCTCAACAAATAGCAATATAAACTAGTTATTCCTAAATTCAGACTCTCGTCTATATACTGAAAAAAGGGTTTAACATTTCCTGATTCGCTTACTGGTGGAACAATGTCCCCCTTTCCAACAGAGAATAAACATGACAATAAATAATAATGATAATAATAAAACGGTGCTTATGAAGCGCTTATCTCCACCGAAGTCTCTTGCAACATTTAAAGGCTCCCTTTAAAACTTACTTTTCCTCTCCGATTGTGTATGATGTGATTTACATATTAATTTTTCATGAGCTTTATGTTTCTCTTACATTCTTTTATTTTGTGAGCGCAATGGTTCTTTTTGTTTATAGAGCTCCTTGAGTTAAAGGAAACAAAAATTTAATATTTCATTAAGGGTTACCTGATTAATGTCTTGCCAAAGGAAATTAGTGTAGCGGCGAGACTCGAACCGCGAAACATCTGATTCACAGTCCGACGACGTACATTTATCCACTAGACCACGAAACCTGTATATTGTACATCACGTTTCGCAGATGTATATAGGTTATTTTATATTTCTAAATATCTCTTTATATATTGTGCTCTCTACTATTCCAATCTTGTGCCCGCTTTTCTCCTCACGCTCATAATATACAACACAATGAGTATATATCGCAGATGTATATATTTCATATTTCCATATACTTTTTAAATATTTTTATATCGACTATTCCAATCTAGTACCCGCTTTTCTTTTCACCCTGATATACAACACAATGGCCCAAATTCACAAAGGAGGTTTGTCTGAACCTTGGTCTGAAACGCATCGAAACGCGTCATATGACGCACATAAACCTACGTTTGTCGACAATCCTCCTTTGTGAATTCGGGCCATTTATACCGATGATGCATGTATCCAAAAGTAGTTCTCTTTTTATTTAAAAGACAAACATGACTGTGATGCCTGTATAGTGTCGGAAATAAAAGACTATTGACATGTATAATGACATATGTCTAAATCTATAATGACTCAGGTCTCTTCGGGCATTGGGATCTCCTTTAATCCCACTGAATGCTTTGTTAAAGAAAACGGGGAAAACCCGGTGTAATCATACACCTGTACATCCCTTTCTGTTAATACATTGAGGAGAGATTTGATGGTTACAGTGGTTAAAGATTAAGTTGAGTTCTGGTCATGCGGTTGCATTAATTTGTGAAAGAAGCGTTGTGGAATCGATCAGAAAAGGTTGATCACCTAGCATATAAGTATTGGTGTGTACTGCAGGGTTATGGAATCATCAAAATGATAAGAAATTTGGCCCAGTCTTGGTAAAGTTACGAGTACTGTACACAGAAATATCAATATGGGACTACTCGAACATGTGGAATGAAAATCCGTCCCGATGTTTATGATGTTACATGCCATATTTAGAATATTAAGGTATTTGAAGAGCCATGCTTTTCAGGGAACATTTTTTATCTGATGTTTTCCCACACCTGCATAATACAATGGTAACGCTCACAACTTATTATTCACCCTTTCCCAGAACTCAACCTTCTCTTTAAGGTCGCTTTCTCCACTCGTGCATTTACACGTGACGCCAAATATTATAAAGAACAATAATCTAAATAACATTTAAATTATCTATTACCTAGATCATCTTGTAAGGCAATTCTTTCATTATTCATGGTTAATCATTAATTTCCTAAAAATAATATATATCCGTTAACTGTGGATATTTTTTGTTTACGATTTGAAGAATATTGCTGCAAAATTTGGTCTGCGATTGAGACTAGTCTTGCTCTGTTTTCACATCTTCCTTCGATTTCGCTGATCCCAAACCTCGTGTGGTATGGAATGCAATTAGCAGGACGGCTTTCTTATATCAATGTCAAGGTAATAATACGTGTTTACAAACATGAATCTGATGAGGAGGGACCATACATCTATCAAGGGGGAGCTATATAGGGCAAGCAATGAAGTGATAAGAAGCTATGATACACACTGTAAAAAAGATATTGGGGGAAAATGCCTAACATTAGGTTAATTGTGTGTCCCATCAATTTTTGTTTTATTAAGTTCCTTTTTTTTTTACATGTTATTTCGAAATTGTGTAGTATAAATGCCATACAAACTCAATATGCTGTGTATATGTCTTTGTTGTTTACGAATATCAATTTTGTAAATATGCTATGTTTTGTTAATGTATTGTTTTTTTCATGTGAAATAAAAGAAACTAAAACTGAATTTATTTTGGTCATGGCTTCATGATTATCCACAGTTTGTCCCATGTCGGTACCCCCTTGCAAGCTAATATGTCATTGGATCATGTGAGGCCCTTCGCTGGTATTTTGATCAATCTTCTTTCGTCCCAAAACGTTTAAATGTTTACTCAAGGACAAGTACTAATCATAACCAGTGTATGTACACAAAGACGAAGTTATGTGAAAGAATGTTAGAAAAAATCGTCTATGTTTACATCGAGCAGGTCTGGGGTAGATATCACTCGAATGAGTGAAGAGATCACATCGGGTTCTTTTCAGAGTAAATTGATTTAAGCCACATTTCCATCAAATATCATACTGTTTTTAATCATACCAAACTGTAATCATTACCAAGACAGTAAGGGTGAATGCGCACGGCATTTGTTACGGTGCGCTTTCTTTAAAGTTACAAAGCAACACAAATGTTCGATGAAAAAGCATATTGACAAGTCAAGCAGCTGTTACTTTCCTGTTGAAATCATTTTTAATTTCGGACGACCTTTTTTTCGTCATTAACATTTTCACTGCAACTCGGAGTATGTTTCGTCTCGTCTGGATATATTTCCTGCAAAACTAAGAAATCATAAAATCTATATCCTATTTTAGTGGGAGTGTCGTGGTCGAGTGGTTTAAGGCGCTTGACTGGAAAAGCGAAGGTCGAGGGTTCGAATCCCGACACGGCACTAATATCATTTGGCAAGATATTAACCTGCACTTGCTACTCTCCACCCAGGTGTTAAATGGGTACCCGGTAGGATGCGACCATCATTGTTGGTCAAACAGTTTTTGAGCGTCAAGTAACGCCTGGCTGGAATGCTCCCCAGGGAGTGGAGATTGTGCACACAGTGTGTGCGGGCAAGCACTTAATCCAATGACCGGGGTAATAGTATATTTGTAAAGCACTTAGAGACATTTCTATTAAGCGCTATATAAAACCTAAATATTATTATTATTATTAATTTCTTGTCAATCTAAATGACGATAAAAATTTAAATATTTACTTTTTAATTAATGATAAAGAAGCGAAGTGGCTCGAGGCTAATTTTCATTCCCAACCATGGTCCTATTTCATAATACTCGTTATCAATAACAAAATAATGCTAAAATTCTATGACAATTTCGCTTTTGGCAAATGAAGTGCCACGATTTCAGTTGTTAATGACATTTATTGGAACTAGTTATGAAACATGGCCTAGATGTTTTCCTTTAATCCTGCACCTGTTTAGTCATGTATAATTAGTGTTGTCTCCCCTATCACATGTTCTATGTAGACCCTTCCATATCGATTTATGTCATGATTCAGGCTTTTATACCTTATAAATCAAGTGAAAATGATTGTGAAAGAACCCACCTGCAGTCAGAGACAGACAGGGCATATGAATATTATTCTGAGTATAATTGGCGTAAAAGTAGGTCTAAATGCTTATCACTGAGGTAGCCAAATCAGCGTAGGCCTATTTGACATTGATTTTCTCAATGAAACTGAGCGCTAAACAGACTTTTGTCGCTCAGTAATATTAATGATCAGCACCTGTTATTCAAAATACCGCCATTGATTTGCAGGAAAATTTATCAAACGCAAACTTTTCAAGATTTATCATATAATAACATGAACTTTTAACTCTTAAAATCTCAGATTGGTCTATTGATAAAAGGTGAGAATCGAAATACATTTTTGGTAGTTTTATCCACTTTTTTTTTTTGATGGATTCAGCCTTTCAACCTGTTCTCAAATATATATTTTTGTAATGTATTTAGCCAAAATTCTTTAACTTAAATGGTTTAGGGTTTCGTGTTACATTTATCATTTTGATCATCTTGTGATAATGAAAAAGGGTTCTACATTGACATCGGTATGCCGCAATATTACAAATGATTGCAAATATGCAGGATAGATCAATTTTGAAGAAAAACAATATGTCTGGGCCGATAGGCTTTGAAGTTTATCGCTTATTGCAGACTCTTGAATGGTTTTGGAAGAAGGAATTATCTTGGATGAATGTCATATGACGCTAGAGCCTAGATTTACCATACATACATTTTCCATGACTTTGACCACTAAGTTTATAGCTAAGTTGGCCTAACATAAATTAATAGTCTAAACACCGAATGTATCCTCATTGGAAAATTTTGGGAATATAAATGTTGCCGCTCTTCGGTGAATTAAAAGTGTGTCATACGGCATTTAATTTCCATACGGCAATATGACAAAGTACAAAACACATCATGATATTGAATAATGTATAAATGTAATGAAAGCCATCTCGATGAATGTATTGATAGGGGGCTTAGTACATTTGAATCCAGGCGTATATATGGCATACACCCTCCTGGAAAGAACACACTCATTCACAGTGTGAATCACAGTGAGAAATCACAGTGTGAAATCACAGTTCACACTGTGAACATAGTGTGAAACACATTGTGATTCACACTGTGAATGAGTGTGAATGAATGTGTTCTTTCCTTTTCCGGTTATCCGGTACATTGTGATACACAGTGTGAAACACAATGTGAAACGAATCGACCACAATGTGAAAACGCCCCAATTTAAAATTGTGGAGCACACTGTGATTCACAGTGTGATTCACACTGTGAATGAGTGTGAATGAGTGTGTTCTTTCCAGCAGGGCACATCGCCTATTTCAAGCGTTATAGAATTTTGTTCTGAAATGTTAAGTTTATCATTATGCTTTTTTTCCCCTTATATTTACAGACATATTTGATGCTTGTCCTCTGGCCCTGGGTTAACGTATCTGCTGAAATTACATTGGTAATCAATTTTCTGCAAGCTTCATTCTTTATCAAAGGACCCAGCAAACCTCAACAAAATGGCGGGCGACTACTACGGTCATACCAACTTATCTCAACCTCACCACCTCTCTAGTAGTGTCAACGGTAGCACTTCAAGCGAGTGGGACTACGATGACTACATCCAAGGAATTTACGACCAGACTCGTAAGCGAGTCTACCCCGAGATTCACGAATACTTTCTCATCGCGATCTACTTCATCATCTTCTTCGTCGCGATAGTCGGGAACTCTATGGTGTGTATCGCGATCCTTAAGAACGATCATATGAGAACCGTTACGAATTATTACATTATGAACTTGGCTACCACCGATATTATGATCGCTGTTGTCTGTCTGCCGATCACCATCACAGTGGATGTATCGGAATCGTGGTTCTTCGGTCAAACTGCTTGCTACCTGATTCCTTATTTTCAGGTAAGATTAAAATATTTTTAATTGCCTTCTTTCCTCTCCTAAGATAGCAACAACAACAAACTGCCATCAGGAAAAAAGCATATAGCCAAATTAGTCAAGTATATTTGTCATTCAAGACCAAGATTTCCACCATCACCTAAATAGCGTTTTGTCACTTTTTGCTCTTGACTCCTGCTGATCGGGGGGGGGGGGGGCTGGGGTACGGGGTGCGCACTATGTACAGCCAAGTATTGTGAACATAGAACAGAAGTATTGCCTTCGGAGGTTTAGATGTCAATACTTCAACATAAATTTGCACAAAAAACAGAAATATATGCCCATATGTTCAATGTTAAAGTGCATTCGCGATATCTATCCAGGCTGCATCGATATAATAATTTACCGAATATATCAATAATAGGCGGTTTCCCGGCAAAATTTGTATCATCACGTATTAGTCAAAACATATTCTTTCACATGATTGGTTATAAGAGCTTTTTTAGATGGGGCGTTTCCAAAACTGGTCTATACCTTTAAGAGTAAGTTGGGCGTTAACTTGATTAAGGAGAAGTATTAACATCCTCCCGCTCTCAGCAAAATGAATGTCAAAAGTGTGACATATATTATTTTCCGTAATGATAATTATTATAACTGATGTTTAACGTTTCCCAATCCTTCTCTTTCCAGCTGGTGTTAGTATGTGCATCCATCTATACACTGATGATGATAGCAGTGGATCGGTACCTGGCCATCTGCCACCCTCTCAAGTTTCAGATTCGAGCCTCGCGTACCCTCCTCACCATCGCTCTTGTTTGGGTGGTGTCCTTCTTCATCGCCCTGCCCGTCGCCGTGGTCAATGGTCTCGAGTCTCAGCCAGCTTCCGTGCACATTGGCAAACCACTTTGGCGCATGTCCTGCACAGAGGTAAGTATAGCGGAGTGGTCTTGGAAAGTTACACAAAAGACTATGAAATAAAACTAGCCAGCAAAAGTAATCTCTCTCTATTCCACCACTCCTCTCCCATCTCTAGATCTCTCTCTCTCTCTCTCTCTCTTTCTCTCTCTCTTTCTCTCTCTCTCCCTATATCATTCTATTTATCTATATATCTTTCGTATACATCTTTTTCATAACTCTGCCCCTGTATTCAATTTTTTAAATCCCCTTCTCTCTTACCCTATTTCATTCACACAAGCACACACACGCACACACATACAGGTAAAACGTGCCAAATGGGGGATATTTATCTTTAACTATCTTTCATTGGGGATATTGGAAGTTGAGGAGTTTCTTATAAAGATTCCTTTACTTTGATGAATGTAACGCCAGATAAATGAATAAAATTACATTTTGTCAAAGAATAACAAGAATTTAGCCTCCTGTTTTTATGTGAGAGTTTACTACATGTAGGCGTTGCTCATGTATTGGAATTTTTAAATCTTAGATGATACACAAAGTAGTGCTCGAAAATGTGGCGTCTTACTATTAAAATGTGGATGTCTTGGAACTCTTCCAGGAAATGGGTATAGTAGACTCCTCTCGGGTCACTTTTACGAAAACTAGCAAAAATATGAAAGTTATCAACTGTGGATATCCACAGTTGTTAGTGTATCCACACTAGAAATTTATGGATACATTATGATTATCTCCGTTTCACACGTGTTACAAACCCACACACACACACACACACACACACACATATATATATATATATATGTATACTCATGCACTCACACACACCCACACACACACACACACTCTCTCTCTCTCTCTCATATTTTGTGTTTTATTTCTCTCTCTCTCCCACTTATATAAAATAAATAAAAGTATTAGCATGCTACTATGTTCACATGTAATTGAACAGAACTGTCATGGAAATAAGTAAGACGTAATAGAGGGGGAAAACTATCGGTTTCAAAGCCATAATAAAAGCCAAAATCATTAACATACACGCCCTGAACATAACTTCATTCAAATTAAAAAAGCATAACATGATTCCTTCTGTTTCTATTAATATTCTTGTAGAGTCGCTGGGTGAGTAAAGTTTGGGAGAAGCTCTATCACACAGCGTTCTTCTTGGCTGTCTATATCGTCCCCCTAGCAGTGATAGGGGTAGCTTATACCAGGGTATGTCGAAGACTGTGGTCTGGTATCCCTACAGAGGAGGGGCATGGAGCGTCCAAACCAAGCTTTAACCAGGTAAGTAGATTCTAATCCCTGTCTCCAGATTTTTTGTATAGTCCGTGGTACCCCGTGTCCCCTCTAACTAAGCTAATGTGTCCTGCAGTCTGGAATTTCAATTTCAATTTCACCTACATTACTAAGTAATAAGTTACAAATGATAAAATCAAGTGTTTTGATATTTCTTTTGTTAGAAACTGTACTATGTCCCATCTGCAGGCCCACAAAATGAAAGGTTATATTCCAACGGCATTTGAAAGACAATACTAATTTAGAACTTCCCTCAAAACGAAAGGGCTTGAAAATAGTTTTTAGTAGGAAAATAACGACCACTAGTTGTCGAATCGACTCAAGTGATTGCAATCACCTAAGTAATAGTCTGATTTTCTGACCCTTTTACCGAATGGTCGTATTTTTTTGCTGCACAAAGATTCAGTCAGTTTAATTTTGGCCATTACAACAAGTAGAGGGTTATTGATGTAGACAAAATTAATGCTCATGTACCTGCTACAGCTCATTTTATGTATGTTATTACCAAAGAAAAAAAGGTGTCAGTCATAGACGGTATGACAGAAAAGTTGGGTTTGAGTTTGAAGTTTATTTTCCAAAACAAAATGTACATCCGCTTCCAATCCTCGAGTGTAATAATAATAATAATAACAATATTTATAAAGCGCAACATATCTCTCTAGAGATGCTCAAGGCGCATACAAATAATTTAAATTAATATTCAACATACTTAAGATTAAAAAAATATTAAATGTTAACTTGCATTAGATCATACAACTTCATGGTGCCAAGGTACATACAATGTGGCACAGTGCGATTGTTTGTTTTGCATGCATTGTATAAAAAGAACATTGTACATCTGTAATTACAACTGCCTATCAATTCAACTCATCTCAACTCAACCAAAATACTTTCTTCCTTGTTAAGAAGCGACATATTATGGTCACTTATAGATCCCTTTTGTGTTCACCCTCTTCTCAGGCCAATGTCGTGAGTACTACGACGATCAGCAAGTCAACTGAAGCTCAGCTCAAATCTCGTCGTAAGGTTGCCAGTATGCTTATTGTGGTCGTCGTCACTTTCGCCATCTGTTTCTTCCCCTTTCAACTACTCAATGTTCTCAAGTAAGTTTAGTAACATTTAAAGATAAAGACCGGTAGTGGTAACATTGCGGTTCAAGGGTTTTGGGTGTAAAATATCCATTCAATATTGTTTAAATATTGCCTTCAGAGGTTTAGATGGCAATACTTCATCCTAAATTTGCCAAAGAGCAGAAATATAATTATGCTCAAATGTTCAACGTTGAAGTGCATTCGCGATATCTATCCAGGCCGGATCAATATGATAATTTACCAAATATATCAATTAGTGCGCGGTTTCCCGCCAAAATGTGTATCATCACGTATAAGTCATAACATATTTTTTCACATTATTGATAATAAGAACTTCCATTTCATTTTTTGAGGGGGGGGGGGGGGGTTCCAAAACAGGTCTATAACTTTAAAACTCATGAGATATCTGGTTAGCTGACATGAATTTACTACGAGGACATTTTACTCCAGGCTATATTTCATCAAAGCTATATGGTTAGGGATCGGGTGATATCATTGTGACTGGGTTATAGGTGGAGGTGTCGTGGTAAAGTGGTGCATTCACTTCACTCCCAATTCAAGGGTTAAGGGTTCGAAGCACAGCCCGACACAAACGTCTTTTGGCAAGAGATTTATACTCAGCATATGCCACACTCCCATCCAGGCGTAAATAGGTACCTGGCAATTGCTGGGGGTAAGCATGGTAATAACAAATGCAGGGACAGGGTCCCCAGAAAGAAATGTGGCCTCACTGTCACTGGGTAGACAACATTATTGGTATTATCATTATAGGTTGGGTTGATATGTAGGTTGGGTGTTTTGTTCGGGGTTAGCCTAGTAAGAAATTGGGTTAGTAATTCAAATTATAGCACGGATCAATAATGTTGTAGAAAGTAAACATCTGCCTCAAACGAGAAGAATATTTGATCAATCTTTTTGCAAAGGGTGAGACGTACTGTCAACGAAATGTGAGTCGTCTCACAGTCATATCAAAGTCGACAGTCATATCAGAGAAATAGCCGCTTTTGGAGGACAACGAATGTCCTCCATTATCCAGTATCGGGACAAGTTCTACATCTGGCACCTTGCTCGCTGGGACACTGCAAAGGCAAGATGACGCAGTGACCTATCTAAAATAATTTTTAAAAAAATTTGAACAAAATATATGAACACTATGATGTTCCGTCTACGAAAAATAAAAACATCGCAGAATATGGTCATCAATATTGAAGGTTCAAAAAAAATATTTCACCCTGAATATGTTTGTCTTCCTTTTTCGTCCAGGAAACACAATGCGTTTGGTAATCTTCGAGACGCCTCCAGCTCAGCTCAGTATAACGCAGTGTATATCCCTTACATCATCGGGCATCTCATGGCTTTCATCAACAGCGCCATCAACCCCATTATCTATAACTTCATGAGTGGTAAGAAAGCTGAACATGGTTTCGAGTTCTAGTAGTGCAATTACAATAATCATTATACTGTTTTATCTGCTAAAGATAGAAGGAAACGTGAGACTGTCCGGAATCGTGCCGCTAGATTAATCTTTGGCCTTTGGTCAAGAACTCATACTTCACCTTTACTTAAGGAGCTCCACTGGTTACCTCTCCACCAACGTGTTCTGTTTAAATTCTGTTCCTATGCTTTTAAAATACTCAATCATTTGGCACCTGAATATCTTAATGACACCCTCCAAATATATACACCGACTCGTAATCTTCGTTCAGCAACCGACACAATGTAAACTTATCATTCCCAAATCTAGACTCTCAGCAGCTGAAAAAACGTTTTGCAGTAGCTGTATCAAAGAATTGGAACAGCATCCCTCTTTCCATAAGGGAAATTACCTGTCTTGCCACCTTCAAAAGATCCCTCAAAACTCACCTTTTCCCCAATGATCTATGTGATATACTTCCTGTACTGTACATTATTTTTTGTCCTCTTTTCATATATTTGTATTTGTAAGCGCTATGGTACTTATTGTTTTTAGTGCTCCTAAATATTCGATATGATATTATTATTATTAGTGGAAATTTGAAAGGGAATGAGGTGGTAGATCGGAGTGAGGGCACTGAGCAAAACCTGATATTGTATACTCCAAAAAGATACATTGAGTGCAAAACCTGATATTGTATACTCCAAAAAGATACATTGAGTGCAAAAACAAAGTTCACCCTCCACCCTCCCCACCACCGCAGCAAGTGGCCCCAGATCACGAGAAAATAATTATTTCAAAACTTTAAAAATTATAAAAACGTACATTTTGTTAGACTTCTCGTATTATTGTCGTCATAATCCGCACTAAAACCTATTTTTGTGTCAATAAGAGAGTAGCAGTTTGTCAGAAACGTAGATCCATGGTAAAGCGAAAACATTGATTTGTTGTTTATTTGTAGTTTGTTTGTAGTTTGTTCTTTTGCAAAATTCGTTTTGTTTTTTGTTTTTATTGTTGTTGTTGTTGCAATGATGTAATTATTCCAACTTTTATCATTTTACACAGCAAAATTTCGACAAGCATTTAAGTCGATGTTTGACTGTCTGCCATGCTGCCGATCACCACGCCAATCACCGGCTATCGATGGAACATCTGCTGGCCCCGCCTACCGACGCGCAAACAGCACAGGAGTGTCCGATACGCATACCACGGAATACGTACCCATGACGTCAATCAGAAATGGGCGTGGCGTCAATAACAACATCTCCGCGATGTCAAAGGGAGTGTGAGATAAGATCACCTAGTACCCCAGTCACAACCACGAGATCGAAACCTGACAGACAGCCGATCGAACATACAATTACATTATCGAGAATGTGCAAAAGTCGGGCGGTTTCTAGTCCGTTTTCAATCGGTTTGGCGGTGTGACCGATTATAAAACTCGTGATTTTATTGATGCGATCATTACACGGTTTATAACTTCATTATTATGGCCGCTCATATGTCGAGAACATACTACATGTATAGTATATAGTCGATTTTCATCGAGGAGGAGGAGGAATTGCATCATTTGTCTGCCCCCAACACCCGATTGTAATTAGTCATCAGAAGCACAAATTGAATTTGGGTGCTTTACAGACTAGTCGATCCTGCGTGGTAAACTTACCACTAAAAAAAAACCTGCAAAAATAGTACTTCAAAATTGAGAAGAATGTACTCCAGACCTCACTAACCACCATCAGGGGACTTTCCCAAATCAAATCCCTCTTCTTAACCAAACCAAACATGCTCCGATATCTAGTCGGCTATACTTCGGGTACTCCCCCGCTTGTGCGTTGGAGTCCCAGTAATGGTGCAATGTGTTTGCGGGTAGCGACCCGATCGGACAACTATACCTGACACCTTCCCTCGGATATCTATTCCCTAAGACGATTATCCCCAGTCATGGTGGATGTATATAGTTGCCTCCTATCAACAAGGTAGCAATTTCGTTCGCAGTAACATTACTGTTCGGGAGGGGGGGGGGGGGCAACATTCTCACGGACGATCGTTCAGAGAAAGTTGTCCGGGTGGCTTACCGTGGGCGGTTATCCTGACACAGAAAATATTATTGATTACAAAAAGTGATATCTTACTATAGTGTGAATTGTTTTTTTGTTTTTTTGTTATTGATCAAACTGTTTCCAAATTTTCAAATGAATACTGTCGCGTTTATTGCCCCATGAAGAATGAAGATGAATTGCATGAATAAACTACTTATCATACGATGTGCGTTGTTTGTGAAACGTGTTATCTCTCAGCAAAGTGGTATTCATTTAGGCTAAGTGAATCGATTCATAACATAGCCTGATAACGATGTAATGATTGCAATGTGCAACATGTTCACTATTCTTGCCATTATGTTGTACAATATTTTAAGGCACGTCGTTGATGATTACGTAATCATTCAAAATGTATATACAGTACATTATAGATATACATACGTTGTGTGTGTTCTTGTATTTATCAGATGCTAGTCATATTTTTATTACTATTATGAAAAGGATTGTGCAAAATGATATCCGAAACGGATTCCTTGTAAATAAATAACTATTACTCCAAGTTTTCCTGTACTATTAATGAAGTGAATGTCTCTCCGTTGTTTGGAAATGTCAAGAAAATAATTGATACATCGAAAAACTTTGCATTCATTTTTTAAACAAGCTTATTATCATGAACTATTTTTATGTAACAAATTAATGGCAGTTAAGAATAATGAAATAATTGGATTCACTGCTTGTAGAAAGCTAGAATATCCAATGATGATGGATACTTGTACATTGCCTGGAACTGAGTGGCATATCAAAAATAGGGTGGAGCCAGGAGGGGGTGGGGCTGCAACCCGGTTTATCTCCGATGGGCCTACAAATAAAACTAGTTAATAGCAAAAGCTATACTAACACGTGAGTATGGGCCAAATTTGTTCGGGAGGAAAGGGATTTCCCAAGCATTCCATTTTTAATAAGGGAATACTTTTTCCCAAATGTTTATTTTTTGCTTAATTTTGCAAGCGACATAACTTTGTACACGTGGTTGTAGTGACGATTTAATCTTGTCATCATAATATATAAGCCAAGTAATAAAGTCGAAGACATACAATAATGTTGGCAACTTTAAATTATTAAGGTACACCCCCTCCTCCTCGCTTCGTACATCTTCGCTAGCATTCCAGTACCAAGATAAATATAGGCCTATATCGGAATAAAGCAAAACACTGAAGCACTATTTGCCAAATAAACATACATATTTTCACATTTATTTATGTTCTTATTTATCAATGTCTTATTTACTAATAATTGTATCTATCTACTTTCATTCAGACCACCGTTGAACAATAATGAGATTAATAAAAGACATTAAACAATTTGTGTGACCATGTTTATGACTAAACTCTCTTATGATTCAAATGTGTATTTTGTATGTCGCTAAGCACGATAAATACTAAGTATTCGTCTTTAGAAAATTATATATCAAGAATATGTAAATATTTTGCAATCATCCCAACCATAAGCTATATAATAAAAGGAAATCCTATTAAATCACCTTTCATTTTCACGGCTGCTATTATAAGATATTTTCTTATGGTGATGGTCATTGCGATAATGAAGATGATGATTACGACGATGATGATGGTGGTGGAAGTGATGATGATGGGGATGATGATAGTGATGAAGATTATGCTAGTGGTGGTGATGATATTAGAGATGTTGGTGATAGTAGAGGTGGTGGAGATAATGATGATGAAGATGATGATGACAGCGACGATGGTGATAATGATGACGATAGCGATGATGATGATAACTATGTTGATCAGGCCCACAAAATAAAATGTCGTATTGCCCTTTGCGACAGACCCAAAAATCTTGAAATCCACGGTCGGCTTTTTAAAAGTTTTTTTAAAACCTTTTTTTAGAGAAGAAAAAAAGGATTAAAGCAATAAAAACTGAGAAATTCCAGCCCAAAGAGGGAGTATAAAAAAAAAAAGGGGGGGGGGGGGGGGGAAATCCCACCGACCGACCCATGTTTAGGCACCTAAATGACAATACAACTTCTTTTTTTGTTCAGGCCAAATGGTGATGATGATAGCAATGATTGTAGTGAATGACGGTTGTGATTTTGTATATTGAAGTTGATACGATATAGTCATTATCATGGCGGTGTGGAGGTTACGATCACCATCACCATCGTCACCATCATTGCTATGTAATACTAACTTACCAATATCAATATCAAGTAAATCACCAACATCATCATTCCTACAGACTGTATATCACCATTGCTTTGGATATACATGTATCATCAACATTACCATAAAAAAGACACTAGCACCAACAACATCACTATCATCTTCAACATCATCATCCTTTCATCATCATCGTCATTATCATCAGAACTGTCATCATCGTCATTACCACTGCTACGGGTCAACAACATTACTAGTAAAATCATTAATCGGTGGTAATCACCGTTATCATTGGTAATTATCATTACCCCCAATATCTCTACCGTAAATTATCATCATACTCACTCTCATCATTGTCAAAACGACATTCATTGCAATCACCACCAATCATCATCTGCATCATACAAATCTGTAAAAATATAAACTTCAGTAGCCACGCTTATAAGTCAGGACATGTCAAATGGAACTTCCTTGTACAAATGTTATCTTTATTTATAAAATGAAGAATAAAGATGGCTTCATATCAGATTTCAATAATTGTACATAGAGCCCTTTCACACAAAAGAAATATATTTTACAGCCATCTATTCCCTTGGGACAATACAACTGGGGTTCAGTGACACAAAGACGTAACTCCATATTTTGCCTATATGAGTATTTGATATCAAAATGTTCAGAAAAATGTGGGCTTTCCAGGAAACACAAAGACTTAAGTCCACCCAACACCCCATTGAAGTCGATGGCTAGTGAAACATAGACTTAACTCCTTAAGTCCCAAGTGCTCAGTGACACATAAACCACTATTTGTCACAATGGCCAAAATGGAGTTACGTCTTGTGTTCACTGACCCCTCAAGGCCTCAACATGTAATTTTCTTGTCTTCTTTCGGCGCTCTTTCTTCTCTTTATCTCTCATCTACTAAGTCTGACCACCACTTGAACTTGCTATATACCTGTACACCTTGTTCTCATCAAAGCTTATGAGTTCACAATTGAAAAGTTTTATTCCAAAAGGAGCTAAATCCAATTTTGAGGAAAATTTAGTAATTGATATCAGAACATTGTTCCCTTTTAACAAAAAGATTTACCAGAAATTTGGAAACAATTATGAAAAATGCACCTTCTAATATCACTTTTCCATAGATGCCTGTACAACATCTGGTAAACAATTTTTTTTTTCTCCGAAGTTAAAAAAAGGGATTTAGCTCCTTTCGGAATTAAAATCTTCAATAATTGTCTTTGAGGCATACAAATTATGAACTCTCTCTAGCTATTGCCCTTAAAGACCTTGAAGAACAACAAGCATTTAATAGTTTAAAGTCAAACCTCAGGGATACCAGTTAAAATTGGTCAGAGGGCCTGAAAATCACCTAGAATGAGCTATTTTGTACACAAAAAAAGCCTAAACTATGGTCTGAAAATGACTCGCCAGGGCCTGAATTCATCCCTGCAAACCTGCAAGATGCATTAATGAAATTTAATTTGTAATATCTGCCCATGGAACTGATTAGGATAAAGGTAAACTTGTCAACTGGCAATGACAGAGAACCAAAAAAGCCTTTGACATTTTATCAACACTTCATTTTTAAATTATTTTAAAAATGTGGACAGAATGTAAAATATTTGGCACATTGATTCCATAATACTTCAGGAAGAATGCTATGACATATCCACTAAAGTTATTCTCATCTGCATTAATTTTGTAGTTAACCTTTATTTTATTTTCAAGCAGTACAAACTTTTAACATTTACTTACCAAGTACAAACTACATGTACTATTTTTTCACAAGAGCTATCTTGAGATTTTTTGTAGAAAAAGTAGTTTTTATACACAGCAGTCCTCACTTTGCTATTTTGTTTTCATCTCATGAATTTTTGATCTAATGATTATTCATTTTCTCTGGGTAGCAACATCTAAGCTAGGACAGCATATCCCATAACCAAACTGCAACTGTAATCTCTATTTCAGTTTCATGTCATTAATGTCTTAACACAGTAATTTTTAAAAATATAATAAAAACTGTTACATTTGTGTAAAATTAATGTATTTAAGTGTTTTACATTAAACCACCATCGTGTCAGTCCTAGCATTCAATTGCTATCGAGCCAGCCATCTATACACAGAGTGTGGTCAACTTGGTTTCACTGGGTCACAACATGGCGTATATTCTTTTGTTTTGTGCTTTCCCAACAAAGCAGTTGTCGCCATATTGGTTCCAACTCGAACCTGGTTTGCCAAACTCTGTGTATAGATGGCTCTGTATTGAATACAGTGCTCCCTCTCCAGTCCACTAGGAGACATTGCAGTCAGTCTCCTTGTACCTGTGTTCACATGCTATTTATGCACAGATAATGACAGCATCCGACTGGGTATGTACTTATAATAGATACCCCAAGGCATCCGAGTACAGGACCCGTTTCACAAAGCCTTTTTTCAATGACAAATATCAGTGACAAATCTGCTGATAACCAATCAGAAGCAAGGATTTTAGTAGCTTATAACAACAACAACTGTCATTTGTCACTGATGACAAGTTTTGTGTCCCAGGTGTCCCAGGCTAAGTGTCCATTCACTGTTGCTCCGAGCTGGTTGCTACCGCTTCAGGCACCGCTGGCAGGACATCTGAAGAGATCCTAGCACCACATTGCCTGTAATTCTCATCACAAGCAATACTCATTCGTGTCTCTCTTCCCTAACGCATAACTCAGTTCATTTACATGGTGTCCAAGGCTCAGTGTTCATTCACTGTTGCTCTGAGCTGGTTGCCACCGCTTCAGGCATGGCTTGTTGAAGGAACACCTGCTGTCCCAATCCTCCTGCCTGGGTCTGGCCAGGAACCTGCTGGATCTGGAAGATCTGTGGGGAAAAAGAGTCAATCAGTGCCAGTGTCAGAAATATTAAGCAGAATCTCTAGCAGTAATCTGAAATTACTACATACATCAAAGCAAATGTATCTGATATCGTCAAGCAGACAGAACACAATCAAAACAAATATTGTAGGAGTTCATATAAGTCTGCCATCATTAACTTGACAATTTTGTTTGTTGGTCGTTTGCTTTCTACTTGTTCTCGGCCCTCTCCCTCTTATGACCCATTTTCACTCTCAATCACTCCAAATGTATTTTCCTCTCCTCTTTCTCTTCTCCCTTCAGCTCTACCCTCATCATGCCCTCCGCCCTCACCCCTTCCCTTTCCACCTTCACCCTCCCCTTCCCCTACCCTCTCTCTCTCTCTCTATCTACATATATATATATATATATATCTCTCTCTCTCTCTCTATCTCTCTCTCTCTCTCTCTCTCTCTCCATCTGGTATATAAAACCCTATGACTAACCTGTCCTCCAGATAGTTGAGTGATGAATTCTTGTCCAGCCGTTGGTTGTTGAGTCCCGGTGCTGCCCTGTCTTACGTACTGTATCTGGTTACCACCGAACTGAATCTGAACAACCAAAGAAAAGGTGTAATGTTACCCATGTTTAAAGTCACTAAAAGCTCACAGCATTCTCCCTCTTTGAGTTGATATTTTTCAGTTTTGAATGCTATGATACATTTTTTCTCTCTAAAAAACAGTGGAAAAGAAAATCAGACCGTAGATTTCAAGATTTCCAGGTCAGTTGCAAAGGGCAATACAACATCTTTTTTACAATTTTTTTTAGGCCTAATGGTATTTACCTGTTGGTTATCTCCACTAGCATTGGCTACGACCTGTTGTAGATTGGTACCTGCCGGAAGCTGAATGGGGATGACCTGTCCTTGTGCGTTGATCAGGGTTGTCTGTCCATCAGTTCCAGTCTGGATCTAAACACAGAGAAATCTCAGTTAAAGGTATACCGGTAGACCAGTTTTGGAAGCGCCCCCTCTCAAAAAATGAAATGGAAGCTCTTATTAACAATCATGTGAAAGAATATGTTTGAACTAATACCTAATGATACTAATTTTGCCTGGAAACCGCCTACTAATTGATATATTTGGTAAATTATTATATCTATCCGGACTGGATAGATATCGCAGAGTCCCATATACATCTTCATTTTGATGATTCCAGAATCTTGCAGTACACACCAATACTTATATGCTAGATGATCAACCTTTGCTGATCAATTCCACAACGTTTCTTTCACAATCCAATCGCATGACCAGAACTGGTCTATACCTTTAACTTGACTTACCAAGTTAAATCTATTTTATCTATACAGACCAAACAAAAAACTATTCCATTAAAGACCCTGTTGGAAGTGAAAAATGAAAAGAATGAATTATATATCAAAGAAAAACTATTAGCCATAGATTACAATAATATCAAAGTTATGCTATTTATCATTAGAGTCTGTCAGAGGAGTAACAGCTCTCTAAAAACTTGAAATCTAAAGCTTTGAAAATCCGAAGTTGTTGACTTTAAAACTAGCTATCGACTTGATGATTTCACTTATGAGGAGTACGCATATTCAAAAAAAAAATGTGCCTATTTCTATCAAAAATGATATAATGTCCCACCCTAGAAAAAATCATGGGGGGGGGGGGGACATCTCCCCATTATTTTTCCTAGGGGGGGGGGGGGGGGACATCATATCATTCTTGATAGAAATAGGCAGATTTTTTTTTGGAATATGCGTACTCCTCATAAGTGAAAGCATCAAGTCAATGAGTGAAAAAGAGGCAATTTAATCAGACTTTCTGAACTGAGGGTATGATGAAATTAATGGGGGATATCCTCTTTAAAAACCTACAAAGACTTTACAGGTGGCATTTTATATGTACAATACATGGCAATACCCTAAACTGAAATGGTTAATAAAACGGCATCTCCTCTGTTGGGTGGAAGGCGCAGGGCCTAGCCAGCGTGATGTCACCATTGGCTAGCTTCCGTGTGGGTGAGGCCGATGGGATATGTACCGGGCGTGGTCCCTGTGAACTTACCTGCTGCAGAGACTGAAGCAGTTGCTGCTGCTGGGTACTTCCGGTCCCAGCTTGGTTACCACCGACGGTGATAAACTGTAGTAGTAATGGGTTCAGAGGAGCATGGTAAGGGAATGTAGGGGGCATGGTGGGGTATGGAGGGTGCATGGTGGGGAACAGAGGGTGCATGATGTGGTATGGAGGGTGCAAGGTGGGGTATGGAGGGTGCATGATGGGGTATGATGGGGTATGGAGGGTACATGGTGGGGGTATGGAGGGTGCATGATGGGGTACGGAGGGTGCATGGTGGGGGTACAGAGGGAGCATGGTATGGGGTATAGAGGGTGCATGGTGGAGTATGGAGGGTGCATGGCGGGGTATGGAGGGTGCATGGCGGGGTATGGAGGGTGCATGATGGGGTACAGAGGGTGCATGATGGGGTACGGAGGGTGCATGGTGGGGCAACACAACACAGTAAAGGGGTACAGAAGAAGCATGGTAGGGCCAACACACCACCGCAAACACATGCATGTCGAGGGCCACATGACACAACAAACAAGTAAAGGAGATAGGGAGTGTCCATGGAAGGTGGCCAATTAACCCAGCAAAGGGGTACATGCATGGAGCAGTTGGCACAGCAAATGGGAGAACAGTGGGCCAAGGTGTGAGGAGATGGGGCACATGAAAATGAACAACGCACAGGAGGGTAAGGCGACAGAGGTGAAGCAAGGGGGTAGCGACAGGAAGCACAGAGGTGGGGTGTTAGCATGCATCGTACAGACAGCCATTGATTTATCCATGAGGAAAGCGATAGGAGAAACATAAGACACCATGCAGGAGGCCAAGACAGAATGATTGGGGGAGGGAGCAGGAAGGGGAATCATGCATCTCAATAGGAAGCAAACCAAAGAAGGGGAATCAATGCCATTTTAAGAGTCACAGGAAAATCAGGAAGAGCACAGCCAATGTGATAGATGTCAATAACGAGTTGATTGAATATAATACAGGTATAAGCAGCAGTTGGGAGCAGAAGTAGGGTGTGAGAGGTTTGGAGAGGAAAAATGAAGAAATGAATGAGTCATGAGATTCTGTTGAAATTCCATTTTCAAAGATTCTACTGAATACCATTTCCCCCAAGGAGAACATGCATGGGCTTTATTCAACACTCTGCGATGTAGATTTGAAAGTGGAGTGTGTTACCAGGATCCAAAATGGTGAGGGGAATGAACCTTTAAATACGCAGGTTCCAATGTCTACCTGGGGGGCGTTTCACAAAGATCCCAAATCGAACTTAAAAATTATGGAGAGCCATTTGTAGCCTTAAAAAAAATATATGAGAAAGCGGAAATTCATGTATTTTAGACTCTTTATTAATTCCACATCAAGAACATAAAATCTCCTTGATAAAAGAAAATATAAATGATTTTATGCCTTTTAAAATAACTTGTAAAAAATATTTTCAAAGATGTAATGGCTTTCCATAATTGTTAAGTCCAACTTAGAGATAAGTTCAACTTAAGATCTTTGTGAAACACCCCCCTTAACTACTTGTCTGTGGCAGAGAAACATGCTACCAACTGTCATGCTGCACCATCTTTCATTCATACATTGGACATTTCCTGAAGCAAAATATTCCATTTTCCCCTATTCTTGAAATGGTAATGAGTACACAACAGTTTGAAGAGTTTTGGGCAGATGGAAAAATGGGGAAAAGTATGTCTGTGTGTGATCCTGCAAAAGATAGGAATCTAACGAAAGGAAATGCACTAATTAAGGTTGAACGGGGGGTATTTCACAAATCTCCTAAGTTGGACTTAACAATTATGGAAAGCCGTTAGCATCTTTGAAAATATTTTGTAAAAGTTATTTTAAAAGGCATAAAATGTTGATTCAAATCATTCATATTTTCTATTATCAAGGAGATTTTGTTTTCTTGATGTGGAATTTATGAAAAATCTAAAATACTTGAAATTTTGCTTTTGAATATATTTTATTTTAAGGCTACAAATGGCTCTCCATAATGTTTAAGTCCAACTTAGAGTTAAGTTCTACTTAGGATCTTTGTGAAGATGATGGTGATGAGAGAGTGATCCTGTGTATGTGCTTGAATGTGTACTTGACAAAAGGGTAGAATCTTACAGAGATTAGATCACACAGAGAGGTCTATATTCCACTGCACACGTTAAACCACACGTTGGGTTAAAACTCAGAGCCCATGCAGACATAAGATGGTAAACCGCATCAAAAAATGAAATGGTACTTCCCATTTCTGTACCTGCAACATATGGAACCAGGAACCCTCCCTCTGCAGCTGCCAGGACTTCTTGTGGAATGTGGACCTTACTACATTGTTTTGGTAATTCCAAAAGAACTACAAGAGAGTAGCGCACTTGCCTCTCATCATTCATTCACTGTTTTGCCGCAAAATTTTCTGTTGTGTGTGTTTAGGAGATCTATTGCATTATGTCTGCATAGGAGTTGAGTAAACTCATGTTACGAAAACCAATAACTAAAACCTATTTTCTACTGGAACCGGGATGTTCCTATTTGAAGTCATTGGGAATTATGACATTCAGTAGTCTACGGATTCAGACCTCATACTAACCTGTACTTGTGGCTGAGAGGTCACGATCTGCCCGGCGGCCTGAGCGGTCGGCTGCTGTACAGTGTTAGCACTAGCAGCGGTGACGACAGGGGCGGGGTTCTGGACCTGAAGAGTGCTAGCCGCTTGGTTCTGGCCTTGTTGAGGCACACTGAAGTAATACTGGACCTGATCTGCCGGTATGGCCGTCTGCTGCAGCTGACCATCCTAAATAGATTAATCAATACAATTCACATTAGGGGAAATAGACCTTTCGGGAGGTACGTGTATTAGCTGCGGTGACTAAAGGGGCGGGGTTCTGGACCTGAAGATTACTAGCCGCTTGGTTCTGGCCTTGTTGAGGCACGCTGAAGTAATACTGGACCTGGTCAGCTGGTATGGCCGTCTGCTGCAGCTGACCATCCTAAATAAATCAAACATCCAAGTAAGGAAACTCCCACTGAAGTCAATGTATAGCATGCGCTAGTACACAAACATTCTCCACTGGTAGAAAAGCATTTGATTCTGATGTATAGCGCATAGGTACCTGTATTAGGTTTCATTTAATTTTTAGAAATGTATAAAATTGTGGGTCCTGGAAAAGATTGGAACAGACTCGACCATCAGAAGGGGAAACATGGAAAGAAAACTAAACTATTTTGGGCACATTGTTTGGAGATCTGAAGGTGTTGAGAAGCAAATACTGCAAGGAGCAGTCGAAGGAAAACAGGGTAGAGGTCGTCCACCAATATCTTGGACTGATGATATCAAGAAAGTGTCTGGACAAGCAATGAAAGGTGCAACACAAATGGCAGGTGAAAGAGTTGCATGGCGTGCTCTCGTGAAGACCCCAGCAGCGCTTTACAGCGCCACCTGAAGTTGATGATGATGATGATGATAAAATTATCTCAACATTTTTGATAACTTGCAAACAAGCAATAATTTCAGAGTAATTATGCTAACAAGACAATGTAATAGGATTCATTTTAATGAACAACATTTATCACCAATTAAATGGAATATAATTTAAAAGTATAAATTGCAAAGAAAACTATGAGTCAAATAATGTCAAATGAAATCATACGGCAAAACTTAAACAAAGGGAAACAAAAATCAAGAGAATATAATAACAAAATGTTACAAGATCGAGCACGCAATCTTTATCTCAAAAGATTTTTTTACAACAAGAAGATGTTAACTTACTGATCTTTTTGGTGGTTTAAGTTCATCTCTGGGTACAATGTCAATCAAGAAATCAAACTGATCGTACTTGGTGATTGCCATGGCGATATCATTCCTCTGTGGAAAAAAGTACAAAAAGTTTATTTATATTAATTAAGGCTGCGACGAGTAGTCGAATGCTCGAGTACCCGCACGGTTGACAACTACTCGGGTACGATTTCTTGTACCCGAATATTCGGCCGCAAAAAAAAAAAAATGTCCAGGCCCACGCTTACCCGTGCCAGGGAGAGCAGCATCCGCTGGCATGGTACTGTCGGTAAAAATGTTTCCAAACTCAAGCACTGTCAAACTCACCTTTCAGAAACTGGGACCAAATGTCCAGATTTCTGTTTGGACTTGGAGGAAAATGGATTATTCTGCCATCTTTGGTTTTTAAAACAGCATTGTTTACAGTTATTATTCTTATTAAATCGGCGCCTTCAACTGCAACTCAAAGTAAAGTTGCATGCGTTTTCAGCGAGCTGCGCGAGGGACTTGAGAAACTGCCGAGTGGTATGGTAGTGGCAAAAAAAAAAAAAAGGAAAAAAATCCAAAATTAAAAAATTAAAAAAAAATCAAAAAAAATCAAAAAAATTCAAAAAAATTATAAAAAAACATGGCGTCCGAATACTCGAGTATTCGCCTGTGAGCCTGGGAGTGTACTCGGGTACCTCATTACACTGTTGTGCACAGCCCTAATATTAATCATAAATAATAGTGATGGCTTCTAAAATAGTGCACATGTCCGTCAGGCCTCAACGTTACAACATTATTACCCTGATCATAGCCCAGCAGCCTAATATTACACAAGGTACTTGAAGCAAGGTGTGAGTTATTGCTGGTTATAAGATGATGACGTGGATCCTAATCAAATGATTGGTTGAAAGCGTACACGTGACCAGGCATGTATTTTGCCTAACGCGTAATTTGGATAATGATCGGTCATTATCCAATCATCATAACCGGTCATTAGTAAAATCATGTTATAAAATATCCTTTTATATAACAAATAAAACATAATCTTATAAAACAAAAAATACACATCATTTTGTTCGGGTGTAAGTAAAATTACCCACACTCGGTACCTTCAAAACAGTCCAAACACCCTAGGGCGTGTTAGACTGTTCCAAAGGTACCTTGTGTGGGTAATTCTTACTAATGCCCTCACTGCTGTGTATTATTTGTATAATAAGTTTGATTTTGTTTTCAATTATCACATGTACAATTTGAATACAATCAGTGTGCAACTATCCTATTTTGACTAGACATCACTGTATCAGCTAACAGAGTACAAATTCTGCTACTGCCCTGTGGACTTTCACTATTGCATGACGTCTCTTCAGCGCCAGAAGGCCAGGGCATTAACTCTGTGTTAAATTACATGAGTTGATGCCTTTCTGGCTCCAAACTGACGAAGAATGATCTAAAGAGAAAGATCTAACTTGACAAACCTGAAGTGTTCTCCTCTTATTCTCTTCTGTATGGAGCCATGCTCTGAGGGAGAGTTCTGTGATGAAGATCTCCGCAGCCTTGGCAAATAATACAGGGGCTTCAGCACTTATCATCTATACAAGAAAAAGATATGGGAATACAATTGGTTAATAATGTCTCAGTAAGTTTATCAAAGCCCCCCCTCCCCCCCCCCCCACTCAGTGTTATTTAGGGTACGCATATGCATGTTCCCAGCACCCCCCCCCCCCCCTTTTCAGCATACATTGTAAGTCCGGTGTGTAAAGTCAATACGGATAGATCTTTTTCTTTGTTACGAGCCAGAGATTTTGGGAACACGCATGCGGTCCCATCAGTTCCCGGAGTGGGGGGCCGAGATCATGGCACATTGGACCTCAATCAGATTATGTTTCACATGGGGAAATGTTGTGATTGTGTTGTGGAATTATACATATTTATTTATTTATTTCATTTCTTTATTTCTTTATTTTGTTTTATTTACCCAGGGTAACCCCAATAGTGAGTAAAACAATGTTGCACTTGGGGGGCCCTGCAATAATTGATATAAATGAAACAAAATAGCAATAACAATGATTTCTTGTACAGTTCTCATGTATACTGCGCAGAAGAGCTCATATATTACCCTTTCTTACACTATTCTATACAACAAATGACTGAGGACTAGCAAACAGAGTATGTGAATAAATCCATATCAGGACTTCCACCCCACACCCCGACTACCACCATAAGGACTATCCTCAACCCCTGATAAATACCCAAAATACACCCCCCCCCCCCTTGAGACAAATATCCTGAGACAAAAATAGTTAGAAGGAGGAGTAGTTTGACTAGTTTCGCTGTTAAGGTTCTGTGGTCATGTTTTCCTAGAATCATTTGGATTACATCTATATTATGCATATTTGTTTTTCATTTCTAATTCTATCCCTTTGCGCCTCAGAATCAATTACTAGATCGATGGCGCATAACAATGCTGTATTTATTATCATTATCTCATGCATACTGTACCTTCACATCTTCATCCAGCTTCATAATCTTTTTGATCCTGGCCAGAGGAAGTTCCTGAGCCTTCTTGAAATCACTCTGTGAAAAGGTAATAATATAACATGGATGTAAATACACAAAAATGGTTAGGTGTAACTATTTTAATAGTACTTATCAAAGAAAACAGCAAACAGAAAAAACAGTATTTTCCTCTAGAATCATATCATTACACACAACTTGATGCTGAAAAATCCTAAACTGTTATGTGATCCTTCCTGAACTTCCTGAAATTGAAAATTGCGAAAGTTGCAAAAAATGGGCTTTACTTTGAGGAAAATCCCCTCAAATGAGCCTTAAAAATGGGTAAGGGTTTCGAGGCTTCAGCGGCTAACCAAATCTGAGTACCCAACACTTGTGTGGTGAGGCAGGGCGCGACAAACCCGCTTGCCCGACGTCCCGGGGCAACCAAATTGAGCCGTCGGGCAAGTAAATCAAATTATCACTTGCCCGATTCGGGCAAGTGATACTTTTACAGTAATTTCCTAGTGTCCAAGAACTCTACCATTCACCCGTCAACTTCTTACCCGTCGTCAAAATCCAGAAGCAAAAAAGCGATCGTTCCGATTTCGAAAAAACTTCACAGACAGCTAGCCAGCTCAGCTAGCTCAGCGCGCATGCAACAGTGACACTTCAAGCCATGAATGCCGCTCCGCCTCCACGCACGGCCGGCCGTGAGCTAGCTAGAGACAACTAGCGCGATCGTACCAGCTGCGAGCTTATTCGCGCTCTCTCTCTCTAGCTCTGCAGGTCGCACCGACAGGCCTTTGCTATTCTCTGATTGCCGATTGGTTGAATCACGCCAAATATGACGTCATTATTCTAGGGAAATGAACACGTGCGAATCGGAATGGAATAAACAACAGGGATTTTCTAGTAAGTACAAAAAGTCAAATGTTTGATATTTATTCATAATGACTGTTAATGATTGTGAACATATTATTTAAAACTCGCTGCTCATATAAATCAGATGAATGTTTTTGTCTCGTTTTCAATTTATTACTGCGGTCTCAAGATCCGACCGAGCGAGTCATTTTGATAATAGTATCGAGACCCCCAGAATATAAGCCGTTGTTGTTTTGTTTTCATGGTTTTAGCGACGTTGTTTAGTCTAGTTTTCGCATACTTATCCGAGATTTATCGTAAAATATCTTCAATATTATTATTTAGTAAGAATTTACAAATTTTGGCATGATATTTATAGCAGTGAATGATGAAATAAAAATGTCCGTACTTTATTTAAAATAGTTGATTACCCATTATTTACATGACGTTTCTTGATGGAAGAGTTGACCCAAATTATTAACAGCTGAAAATTAGCCTACGTTTCCAAATGACAGCGGCTTGCACAGACACACATGTGATGTTGCACCATGGTACATGTGGCTACCATTAATGACATGTTTGTATCATATTTTTTACAACAGGGTCATTATGCTTTTTTACATGACTGAATATTAAAAACTTAAACCTGCTTGAACCATTCTACCTTGCCGAGATTCATGTGAATCTGATTATTTATGGAGAATCAATAAAATGCGTTTTTTAAACCTTCAACCATCCTTTGTTGACCATTTTCTTTGACATATTAGGTTATTATTCAGTACAGTTACACTGTACATGTATGTGCATTAATTTGCTATCTAAAACACTAACTTATCATTACGAGATAATAAATGCTTTAACCTCGAGTCCTTTTTCGCTTTAAAGTTTTGGGCAAGTGGAAATATTGTTTGGGCAAGTAAATTGAAAACCCACTTGCCCGACAGGGCAAGTGGTGAAAAAAATTCTTGTAGCACCCTGGGTGAGGCGAATGGTTGTTGTTGCTGCCTTTCTTATAGACACTACATCATAATATTATTATTATGACGGTTACTTACATGTTTCAAGTTACTGATGGTATCCATCTGTCTGTCCCAGTATTGCTCATGGTGTATCTGAGATTCAGTCTGGTTACTGCTTGTCTGACCGTCCGAGGACTCCATTATCTAGCTGTAGGAGGTCAAAGGTGAAAGGTCATAGCTTCTACCCTGAAAGGCTTACAAAGAATCTTAGGGTGCATTCAAGCAATTTTTTGAAGCTAGAATCACAAACATGAATCACAAATCAAAACGCTGTTAAAAACATGATTACTGCGGGAGAGCGTTCAAGCGATTTTTCATCAACGCTGATTCTCGCTCATTTCAAGCCCAGCCACTGCTCATCACAATGTGCAGTTCGACCTAGGAAGTATAGGTTAATTTTGCTGCATAAATCTGAATTTGTTTTAATACGGTCGACTGTCGGCGAAACCGGGAGAAGGTCACGATAACGACGTTATAGAATCATGATTGAGATCTCTGTTCGTTCAAGCAATTTTTAGCGACCATGATTCTGCAGAATCACGATGCAAAACACATCTCTTTTAGCATTTCACGTTTGCGTTTTTTTTTAAATGTTTGTGTTTATGACCGACAAAAAATAGTTTGAACGCAACCCTGTTTTAAACTAAACGTCTTTGAAAACTGTGTTTCTAGGGTGAAAAAGTGTCACTTGAAGGCACCCTAAATTTGTTGGCAATACCCCTCCAGTAATATCAATTAATTTACACTTAGCATCAGTTCTAAATGTTGTTACATTAGTCATTCATAAACAAAGTTAGAATGTTACCATCATGCCAAAATATACACATAGCATCCCCCCCCCCTCACCAACTGAAGTATTCTTGAAAATGCTATTTAAAAATTACATGCCCTAGATCTACAAATATATTCATAAAAAGATAATTGACATTGCTTGAAATTGACCCCTTTTTCTGCGATTTTGGTAACGGTCATGCATGCGGTCCGGAAGTCACATCGAGTGACCCGGCCCACCGCCCTTCCCAAATAAGAGGCTAACGAACGAAAGAGACAGAAATTTTTGGTCTAGACTGTGTCAGACACTGACAGAGTGAACCCAGAAATGCAGAAAAAGCCAGAATAAATATTTTAAAAAATCATATTCAAGATCACAAAAACTCAAATTTTAAAATGCAATTGCAAACTCAAAATATGAATTGCAAACTCACATCTTTAAACATTAACGGTCTCAAATATTTATTAAGATAATGTCTAGATCGATGGTTGAATATTAAAATGCTTTGGAGATTGCTTGGTATCACTATCAGTAACAGTATCACAAAGGAGTCGCTGCAAGTGCAACACAAAACAACCTAGATTAGATAGTTCAGTCCCACATGTACGGTTTGGATGGGATGTCACGGGAATGAACCACAAATTTTCCCTTTTACATCCACTACCGTTTTGTAGTCCCCGATTATCTTTCATTTTGTCCCCCTAATTCTGAGTGCTTAAAATCAATAATGTCATATTCTCAGTCTGTAGAGTGTACATGGCTTATTGGGGGACCCCTCAACACAATCGCCAGGGAACATAACGTGTGATTTGCTCAAAGTTGGCACCTTGGAAAAGACGAAATTTCAATGGCTGCCGGTCTAGCGAGCGAGAGCCAATGACCACATCATTGTCCGCCGTGTACGGGCCCGCCAACCAATCACCGTATGCCAATACACCACACTGACAATAACGAACTACGATTGGGCTACTCACGTAGTCGAAGGAAAAAGTGAGGAAAATACAAAATCAGTCACATATTAAACTACATGTAAATAATCTTTCTCATCTATTGTACGGAAAGTTATAAGGTTATGAGGTTTATCTTACCAAAGTTGAAAATACGAGCAGATAAAGAGCTGTGAGCTGGTAGGCGCAAAACGGTTGCAACTATTATATGGACCGAAAATGGTGTACAATACGCGGTATACACGCGAAATAATACACACATGCAGTATA